TCACGGATAACGTTCTCCAGGAAGACCTTGAGGACACCACGGGTCTCCTCGTGGATGAGGCCAGAGATACGCTTCACACCACCACGGCGTGCAAGACGACGGATGGCGGGCTTAGTAATGCCCTGGATGTTGTCACGCAAAACCTTGCGATGACGCTTGGCTCCTCCATTTCCGAGTCCTTTACCACCTTTACCGCGACCAGACATGATTACTATGAACGTTCGGCGTTTCCCAATTCGCCAAGGCTTTTATACCTAAATAACTACGTCTTATTTTAAGCAAATCACCTTTTGGTATTTAATGTAGTAAAACAACAATACATTTGCGCAAATTTATATTTACTGACTTTGCGACAGAGTGATAAGCAGAAACGTTACGCATATATTGCCAGCAATTTAACAGCTGGAAGATGCATAAAGGAAGATTATGCGGAACACAGATATGAGAACCTGGCTTTTTCTGATAAACCGCATCATGTCTCGGCATGTCATTAATAACTTGAATTAAAGCAAAGCTAGCACAGTGAGACAGGGAAGAAAATTCTCATCTTGTGTGGGTAGTTAAGCAAACAACAAGCAGGTTCTCTTCCGTGCAGATCACTCCCAGTCGTTAGAAAAAACGCATGAGACTTAACCTGTGTAGATTTTTAATTTGTGGGCTCTTGGCCCTACTTATGTGTTGTTTAAATTTATCAATAACCAATTTTGTGAATCTTTCGAATACAACGCACATACGCACTTTCGGTTTTGACGCGTGCTAGCAACAATCTTGCTAATCCCTCTCCACCAGCTCAACTCTCTCCTCACCTGCCGCTGTTTATTTTGCCCTTCAACGACACCTCTCTGGTGATCAAGACGCGTGCTAGCAACAATCTTGCTAATCACTCTACACAGCTCAACTCTCTCCTACTAGCAACTATCTTGGTAATCACACTCCACAGCTCAACTCTCTCCTCACCTGCTTTGCCTTCAACGACACCTCTCTGGTGATCATCCTCGGGCTCCAGGAGAATCCAGCGGCAATTTACAAACGAGTTTTCTCTCAATTTTCGCGACTCGCGACCCAAAAAAC